CCCCCCCTCAATAAACAAAGGAAGAAAGGAAAACAATAATTGATCGAAGGGATATTCTGCACAGTTCTGAGAATGGGAAGAGGGCGAGCATAGTTCTGAACCATAAAAATGACAAAAGCCATAAGGAAGCATTTGAGTTGTCCCAACACTAGTGCTTCAAGAGCCAGATTTCAAGAGATACACAACACATATCCAAACTATTTTTCCTAAATATATCATCTAATAAGAACAAAGAACTATTGGAATGAAATGAGAATAGAGCGGAACAAATATAGAGGATTCATACAACCGAACCCAGCTAGTTTGGGATTGTGGCGTAGTTTCTCGATTGATCGATATCATCTAACAAGAAGGCAGCAGATATTATGAGAGCAACAAGTACCTTTTTTATTATAAGTATTAAGAGACCAACAAGTACCATCGCAATAAAAACATGTAGGCCATCATTGCATCTCTTGGTGAATGGATTTTCAATACATGAAAGCATATAAGAGAAAAGAGAGTGAAGACAGCTGCAAATTCTGTAACTGTGTCTATGTTCCTTTTCCTCTAAACTTAGAATCCTCCTTGGTGCAACCTGAAAAGGACCGTCTCTAAGCAAAGGTACTCTTCTGCCTTTTTGCCTCTGACCACTACTGACCTCGTTACAAGGTGATCCATTTATGACTTCAATAATTTCGAACATTAAAAAATCAGTTCTAAGCCTTACCATATCACCATTTACATAACACCTTAAATAGTGATAATGGAGTCATGCATTCACTTTACCAACCAAAATCTTTCTTCTATATCTATCTTCAAATCATCAAATAACGGATATGCTTCTCCCATTTTCACCTGCAGATCCTTACTTTAATTGTCTTACCACTCACCAATCACCATTATGAAAACTCCACCGCCCATTGATGAGTCTGATTCATTTGTCCAACAACATAAGCTCCTCCTCCTAAACCAACTTCCGATCTAATAACTAGTCAAACGTCAAGGCCCCTTATAACAGAACTACTCGTACATCAAACAATTTAAATCTCCATATAGCCTCAAAAGCACGCAGACTCTTCGAATAATCCCCTGAGTTAACACTCTCCTTTTTAGCTACCTAAAATCCTGCCTCCGTGTAGCCATCCTTCAATTTCCAAAGTAAAAGACTACCTTACATTCTCAATCATAGGATTAATAGTAAATCAGCTTCAGCCAAAAAGTTCCATTTGTTATGGCCAATTACACGAGAGTGATTATCTTCTCATCCAACACCAGTTTTTGGATCTTCTATTGAACAACTTAAGAATAGGATTTAAGAAAAACTGCTCCTACTTTAGATAGGGTCCTCTCAGTAGACCATGATATTGCACGGTCTGTTCCCAGGGGCGGATGTAAAGTAGCTTTTCCCCAAATCCTAAATATGTGTAAAGATTTTCACTAGATATGAACAAATATTAAATTTTGAACCCGGTAACTAGCACTTGAGGTTGTTGTCTTAGAATCTCAAACTCATAAAGTTCAAATTGCGGATTCGTCTTTGTCTGTTCTGCTTCTTGCAGATAAATAAGCAGGTGCAAAATCTAAGTAACATATAACCTCAATGCAAATGTTTAAAAAATATTCGCACATTTGGTCAGCTGACATGTCAATTTACTGAGAACTATGAAAAAGGTCCATTAGAATGTTTTGCTCGTCATTGTCTTGCTGCAGAGCTTAATTCGAATTAAACGAGAAAACAAAAAAACAGAACAAATATAGAATCAAAAAATGAATCTTGTAAATTATAATAGCCTCAAACACAACCAATATATGATTACCTGAAGAATACGGTCCCGAAAAGTGAACGTATTTGACTCGGGCGATGAGTCAATCTCCATTCGGAACATTGACCTAATCCAATCGGTGCAATTACAATTCACAATTCCACAATTTCTACTCCCCAGGGCTAAACACTAGTGTCAGTTTATACTTTATATAGTCTGTACTATCAAATATATTGAAACCCTAGCTGAATATAGAGCATCAGATCCTTAAATTAGAGTTCAAGCACTGAATTTTGATTGGGAAAATTGGAAAATTTTAATAACAGTGTCATAGCTCTGGAACGATCTGTAATCTTTTCCTTTTTGTTTTTGGATAAAGCCTAATTGCGTATGTGCAGTACTATTTGACTTTAGCCTTTGATAATTCGTCCTAAAAAATGAAAGGCCAAAATGAAAATAAAAGACCTTTCTTAATAATAGAAATAGCAAATAGGCCAACAACTTTGCGACTTGTAACAACTACTACTCCTATGATCTTTTGCACTTGACCATGTTCCTTAAATGCGAGGCACTTTTGTTCCTGACATAAGGTTTGGTTAACGTTTCTTTGTTGTTATTATTAACCTTTAATTTTGTTAATGATTTAGAGAATTTTGTATTTCTTTTGTTATATAGTGTGATTGTGAATATGTTATATAATAAGGAATAATAGCACTTTTGCTCCTTAGTTATTAGTAACTAGTAAATTTATTTGTGCTTCGCGCAGTCATAAAAACATTATTATATATTAAATATATAATTTTGTTCTGTATTTTAAATTTAATCAAGATAGAAGAGATTGAAAAAATTAATTTATATATGTGATCAATTAAATTACACCTATAAATCATTTTACTATAATTGTCTTCCTGCTAAAACATTCAAGCATCAATTTTTTTGTTCCTATTTGTATGCACATGTCAAACTCATAATCCTTTTTATGAACATGTCAAGTTCGGTAACAGATTAATTATATCGTTATAATACATGAGTTGTTATGTAATATGGATTGGTATTCGGTAATAATACAAAGATCAAATTACTACTAGTTAAGTTGGTTAACACGCAATAGCAAATTTTACTCAAGCAAGTGTTAAACATTCAAGTATAATATTTTCTTTTTTGAAGTATGGGGCCAAAAGGAAAAACAAAAGTCCTTTTTTTGCCCCGAAGGAAAATAATATCCAAGCACATTATAAACTATCAAAATAGCGGGAAAGAGAATACTCTCAGGTTGAGCACAGCAAGCACAAAAGTGTGGAAGCTTGTAATTACATGTAATTTTTTTACATAATTATTTGCTATTTAAAATTCACCAACCCGACTAATACGGATTCGCAAGGCATAAGATTCATTAATGGGGGAAGAGGTCCTTATCAAGAATTTTTTTCATTTACATTGCTCGAGCTCAGAATCTCTGGTTAAAATAGAGGGATCCAATTCATCTACCATAATTATTGATATATGGTTAGTTAGCAATGTCAGTGAATACATACGGGTTACTTAGCAATGGTAGAGAGTTAACATTAGATAAAAATAACACTCTCGAGAGCAGCATTGACCAAGTCATTCTACCAGAATGTCTATATTCAGTGATTTCGAACAAGTATGTAACGATCCAACCGGTCGTTTGAAGTATTAGTGCTCTGTTCAGTAGTTTAAGGTCTCGAGTAGCTTTGTATTATGTGTTATGACGTGCGTACGTAGTCGAATTCGGATTTCGGATGATTTGGGATTGATTTGGAAAAAAGATTCTTGTTTTAGAAGTTTAAACGGAAAGAGTTAACCGGAATTTGACTTTTATGTAGATGACTCTGAAATAGTATTTTGATGATTCCAATAGGTTCGTATGGTGATTTTGGACTTAGATGTGCATCCAGATTTGGAATTGGAGGTCCGTACAATAATTTGAAGCATTTTGGCGAAAATTTGAAAGATGAAGTTTTTGGAAGATTTAGAGGTTTGACCGAGAATTGACTTTGGTGATATCGGGTTCGGAAGGCAATTCTGAGAGTTGGATTAACTCCGTTATGTCATTTGAAACTTGCATGCAAAATCTGACGTCATTCCGGTTTGATTTGATGTGTTTCGGCATGGGTTTTAGAAGTTAGAATATTTAAAATTTCACAAGTTCGATTCATGGTGCGATTCATTGTTCCAACGTTGTTTGATGTGATTTGAGGTCTCGAGCAAGTCCGCGTGGTGTTATGGAACTTTTTGGTATTTCTGGACTGGGTCCCGAGGGCTCTGGTGTGTTTCAAACGAGTTTCGGATGATTTTATTGCTTGTGACCGGGTTTGCTTCTGGTGTATCCGCATCTGCGGAGGTTTGATCGCAGATGCGGAGCCGCTTCTGTGAGGTTCTTCGTCGCTTATGTGATGTTGGTGCAGGTCATGTCGTGTCACTTCTGCAGAGAGAGGAGCACAGGTGCGAGATCGCATCTGCGGAAGGTTGATCGCAGATGCGCTATATGTGTTCCAGGTGGTCGTCCGCTTCTGCGGTTTTGTCACGCTTCTGCGCAATCGCAGATGCGATTATTGGGCCACAGGTGCGAGTTATGGGCTTTCAAGTGAAGACAGCAAGTGTGGTGTTTTTCTCGTAAAATTGAAGCCGTAGATGCGACATTTTTGTGCGCAAATGTGAATAGCCCTAGGCAAAATCATATATTTGAAGGTTTGGCATTTTTTATTCATTTTTGAGTTTGAAGCCTCGGTTTTGGGCGATTTTAGAGGAGTTGTTAACGACTTTGACTTGAATAAGTGTTCTATACTCGGAAGTGATTATATTTCATGAACTCATTGCTATTTTTATCATTTAATTAGTGAATTAAGTTGGAAATTTGGAAAAAATTTGTAGAAACCTTTCAAAATGTAAAATGATGATTTGTAGGACGAATTGATGTCGGAAATTGATAATTTTGGTATGGTTGAACTCGTATCGGAATGGGTGTTCGGATTTTATAAATTTTATCGGGTTCCAAGGCGCGGGCCCAGGGGTTGACTTTTTAGTTTTAATTAAAGATCGAAACTTTATTATCCGGAATTATTTTCTATGAGTTTTATTTATAGGTTGAAGTTATTTTGGCTAAATTTGAGCCGTCCGGAGGTTGTTTCACTTAAGAGGGCCATTTTAGAGGATCGGCCTAGCTTCTTTGAGGTAAATATCTTGCATAACTTTGTGGGGGGAAACTACATATTAGGATTTGAGTCTTTGGTGCTAATTGTGTCATGTAAAGTCCGTGTATGCGAGGTGACGAACACGTGCTCGGGCTTATTTGTGTAAAGATGACCTTTTAAGGCTCTTAGGCTCTTATGTTCATTAGATATGAAGTTATTTTGTTATGTTAAGTTCCCCATTTGCTAGTTTTACATCTACGTGTCTTAATTGGAATTAATTGCTTCATGTTCCATCCTTATTACCTATTTGACTCTTGTGTGCCTTAACCGAGGTTGTTGCCTCTTCGATTGCCACGCTATCCTTTCCTATATTGCTTATCCTTAATTGAAATTATTATTATCTCTTCTGTAATTGTCTATCCTTAATTGAGGTTATGATTATCTTTTTCGTTGCTTATTCTTAATTGAATTTGTTGCATCTCTTCGTAATTGCTCAACCCTAAATGAAGTTTAGTTATCCTTTATCGTAGTTGTCTCATCCTTATTTGGAATTATTGACTCATGTTATCTCCCTTGTTGTCGGATTGTACTTATGCGGAATCATTTGTTACATATTATTTGTCCTTTGTTGAGCTATTCTTATTGAGACTAGTATTCCCTATTGTGTTTATTCTTTGTGAGCTCGTTCTACCGCTTCTTTGTGATCCAAAGCTCTTGAGTTGATTTACTTGTCGTATTCTCGTGTTATTGTTGTTGTTGTTGTTGTTGTTGTTGTTGTTGTTGTTGTACTCAGTTGTTGAGCCGAGGGCTATGCACGGTTGTAGTATTGACACTGTTTAGAGGAAATGTTGTAGAATATGGGCACATATTGTGAAAGTTATTCTATTGTGATGTTGTATTTTTGGCACGTGATATTGTTGGGAGGTTTTGTTCGGGTGTTTGCATGAGGTTTATGCCGTGCTCTTGTTACTATTGATGATGCACATGCGGGGTGACAAGGCGGTCTATATCTGTGTGTTTGCGCATGTGGCGAGACAAGGTGGAAATATTTATATGTACGTGCGGCGAGACAAGGCAGGCATTTACTTATTTATTGCGTACGTAGCGAGACAAGGTGGGCTATGTCGGGGATTGATTTGTGATGACTTGAGATGGTATGGGGCCATTGTTGTTGATGATATATGTGTAGTGGCGTGCCTTACTTGTGTGAGTTTTACTTTGTGCAAATAGTGGGGATTGTTTCTTATGTGCCGTGCATTTCCTCTACTCTTATTCTTTGGCCTGAACTGTGATAGAATACTTGCACAAGCATACATGTAATTAATCACCCCTATCGGTTTAAGAAGGTGGATCCTGATATTATTGGTCATTCATAAATACCCTCGTCTACTTGACTTCTATGTGAAAATTATTCTATTAGCACGTGCGTCGTCCGTGCAGTTACCCGTTGTAATGAGGGCACAAGATGCCAAGTGATTAGGGTTCACGAATTGGGACCCGTGAATTGTGAATATTTTTGAGGTTTGGTACCTCGTGGGGATTATTGGATAAACCTGGTGTGAAAGCGATTATTCTTATCGAGTTGCTACTTGTCTTTCCTTTATTTATTTTTCACCGAATTTAAACTGTGTCCAACTTACTCTGCTATGTTATTACTTGTGGTGTCCCGCTGCTAATTGTTGCTTCTATTTCCTATTGCAAGTAACGTATTATTGTTGTCATTATGCGTAGTTCTGTAGAGATATCGTACTCTGTTAGTTCTATACATATACTTGTTCATGTTATCTAGTCCAGTAGGTGTCTTGACTGTCCCTCGTCACTACTTCACAGAGGTTAGTTTTGATACTTACTGGGTACCGTTGTGGTGTACTCATGCTACGCTTTCGCACATCTTTGTACAGATCCCTGTAATTCAGAGTTAGTCGATCGCTAACTAGTTGTACGGATCTTGCTGTGGAGACTCAAAGGTAAACCTACTGCTAGGGGTGTACAAACAAAATCGACGAACCGCACCAACCCGATAATTCGAGTCAATCAGAGAAAAAAAATCCGACTATGATTTGGTTTGGTGTTGGAAAAAAAATCCGACCATATTTGGTTTGGTTTGGTTTTAACTAAAAAAAGTCAAACTGAAACCAAACCAACCCGACATTATATGTATAGAAATTTTAAATATATTTAATACATAAAATTTTTTATGGCAATATAGTTTATAAATATTTTTTTAAATTTTTTCATAGTTTTATCTTTTAACGTATTATTTCAAACTTGGGCTTATAATTTTCGGATGCTCCAATAAGTTTTATAGTCCATAAAT